TCAACAACGTGTGTTATATGTGCCAAGTGAGAGAATATAAGAATATCCATAAAGTGGCCCATATGCCACATGTTTGTTTTATTTATTTATATTATATATATTTAATTGGTTTAATGACTAACGGGTAACTAATGTCTGTTCACTATCCCATATGGTGGTTTCATAGGACTTTACAACTTCCCTTATGGTGGGAAGTTATAAAGAGTTACACTTAGATATGGGTCCAAGCCTATCTATTTATATGCCTATGATAGCCATCAAACACAGACGTTGTTTTGTTAATAGAATAGGCTTGAAACTCTATCCCTTTCACTTTTCCTATATGGTTCTGTAAAAGTGTTTTGTGAGTGGGCTTCTTCAAAGGCTTGAACATCATGACAGGAGGTATTCTTCTTTCTGAATTAAAAATCATTTTAATTCTCACAGTACTTCCTCATAGTTCCAACCATTTCATATCAAAATTTGCTAGTTTTTCACTATCAAATGCCATATTTTTGGATCTGTATTTATATACAAATAATATGCTTATCCCCTATAACATAATCTGAAGAAACTTCCATTTTGCCTGTAAGTGCGTCCCACATCGCTTTGTGGGAGTATTGCATTCCACCTTATAAGCTGACTAAATTTTTTTTAATAGCACAAAATATTTTCTTAAAGATAGAACAAATTTGTGAAAATATGCCCAAAGTGAATGTTGGACCCTTTTAATATCTTTTATTTATTTATTTATATTTTTTTGTTCATGGATCTTCCTTTTGTCTTGTTCATGAATGGAGATTCATTGTTTTGGTGTCCTTTTGTCTTTGTTCATGAATGGAGTTTAATTAGAATTCATGAACTTGGTGGTGAATTCATATTTGGATACACTCTCCCTTTCTCTAGGTTCATAGTCATTATTGTTTTTTGATGTATTTTGTAATGTCTTAGTGGCCTATAAATAGTTCTTCTATTCTACTCTTTTCTATAACCAATACACCAACTATTTTCTATATAAGAGAGATTATTAGCAAAGAATGGTGTTTTTCTTAGTGGAGCTTTGGATTCACCATCTTGTGCAGAGTTGGCTTGAACCATACGACAAGTGGTCAGGCTGTTGTATCCTGGAGGGGACAAGTAACAGTTTTGTGACTGCTGCATCGGTGTTTGGATTCTTCCTACCGCAATAGGCTTGACATCTTTAAAGAAAACGAGATATTCGTGCCTCAGCCTAATATATTTGTATCTCTTTTTCTTTGCATTATTTATCATTAAAATATAATTTTTCTGGTATTTTTACCAACAATGAACAATATTGTACTTAGTTAGCTGGTTCCTATGTGGAACCACATTCCACCTTATAAGCTAAGACTCCTATCTCATTTCCATACCTCCTATTTCATTTTTTCTATTATTTATAATTAGGGTTCTTCCCTTTATATAGTATTCTACTCCATTAATAGGTGGCTAGGATTAACTTAATCTAAGGGCCATCATTTTCTAGAATATTCTAAAACCTTCCAAAACGTTGTAGATTTTTCAAAGCTTTTCCAATATTTTGGATTTTTCTAAAATGTTTCAGAATCTTCTAGATTGCTCTAAAGCTTTCCAAAATCTTATAAATTCACGTAGAAGACTATAGAGAGCATGTGTTCAATCCCAACATCCTTATTTTAAAAAATGATTAGAGCTTCAAAAAAAATAAAAAATAATATCTATCTCAAATAATACTGAAAAAATCAATAAAAAGGGGCAAATTACCCACAAATTGCTTTTTAAAAAGTTTGCGTTCTATTTAATCTCAAAAATCCCAAAAACTTTTGAATAGACCAAAAAGTCTTGTGTATTTTTCTTATCCTCTTTCTCACATTGCTTCTTCACTTTATCTCTCTTTATCTGATATCTCGTGACGACCACGACCACGACCACACCTTCATTCTTTTATTTCTCTTTATGATGTACAGTCATCAGCGACCATGACTACGCCTTCCGGCAACCATGACCACGCTTTCCTTTTTAAAAAGTTTGTGTTCTATTTAATCCCAAAAGTCCTGCGCATTTTTCTTCTCTTCTTTCTCTTGTATTGCTTCTTCACTTTATCTCTATTTCTCTGATATCCAGTGACAACCACAACTACGCCTTCCTTCTTTTTCTTTTTTTCTTTTTTTGATGTACAGTCACCGGCGACCACCATTGATTTGGGTTGACCGGCAACCACCAAGTACCGATTACTTACTTTACGCTCACCGATGACGAAGAAGATGAGTAGATTTGCTCAAATCTGATGTAGATCTACTTAGATCAGATAAGTAGATCTACATCAGATCTAATTAGATCTAAACCAGAAATAGTTAACGAAGTACAAGCCTCTTTCTATATCTGTCTCTTTTCTTCGATCTATCATTGTTTTTACTTTTTCTATACTATACACTTCTATTTTCCTATTTTAATGGAGAAAATTTTCAAGTTCTTAACAAATTGTCTTCGAGTTTTAGTTACAGGTGATAAAAAACTGTAAAATTTTACAGTTTCAATTTTTTTGATGTTAAAATGAATCATACTTTAAAACAGCAAAACTTTACAGTTTCATAACATTTTTTTTAGTTTGATTAATAAGGATAAATACTTAATAGAATCATGTTTTGAAATTGTAATATTTTACAGTTTCAAAACTTGCTTTTTAGTTTAATCAATATTGGAAATTATTTGCTTAAACCCTACAAAAATTGAAAATTAATATATATTCTTTCCCATTGTTATTTTTTCGTTGTTATATTTTTTTTTCTTTCAGTTTATCAATATTTAGCATATTTTGCTATGTTTTTTTAACTCTAATCTCTTTTTTTTTGGTAATATTCTGGACATTTCAATGAGTCTCTGGCGATATTCTTGACATTCAGGGAACGTTCTAGACATTTCGACTTCTTCCGGTGACGTTCAAAACACACCAGCGATATTCTAGCGAACTTCTGACAATTTTTCGGTGATATTGAACATTCGACAAGACTTCAGTGACCGTCTGATGGAAATCCAACGATGATGAGATGTAGCAGTGTTTTTGAATTTTATAAAAAAAAAAGATTTATTTTGATAACAATTAAAAATATGTAAGACTAATTGGTCCAAATATTTTATTTTGGGATTAGATTGGTTTTGAATTTTATATAATTGGTACAAATATTTTATTTTGAAATTAGATGGGTTTTAAATTTGGGAAAATTACCCAAAAATCCCATTTGGGAAAATGTTGCTCCATTTAGTCCTGAAAGCTTTATTTCAAACCAATTAGTTATTTTATTTATTGTATATTCTGGGGTTTACTTGTTTACCCTTGAGTATAATTATGGTTGTGATTTTTTCCTAATGTTTGGGTGGGTTGGTTATGGTATGGTGTTAATTTTTAAAATTTTGTGGAGGATTGAGTGGAGTGATTTTGTGGGGTTAGTGATATTTAGCCATTTGAAGTGGATGAGTTAATGTGAAATCGTAGTGTTGTTGTTGGTTGTTATTTTTATTTTTTTGTTTGATTTTAACACTACCACATACATAAGACCCACAACATATATGATTCTGACAAATGCACCTTCATTACCATGAATTTTCAGTAACATGTACACCTTCAACAAATCATCGCCAATAAATAACATGCAAGTCATCAACATTCCATAAAAACTCCAATATACCTACAATTGCACACACTGATGTAATGGATTCATTGCTTCCATTGAGATTGGTTAATTTTTACTAACATGGAAGTCATGCGTCCTAACATCTACGTAGACAATCGCAATCAAATCCCACACAAAAAGTCGACAAAATCTTTCACCACCAATACAACAAACCCCTACTCAAACAGAACACATTTCTGAAGGCTTCCATTAAACATCATAAGCATCTACATCATCAATACCACTCCAAAAAAACGAAAACATTCTAATATAACACTCCAAAAAAATTCTTTAGTGTAACACTCTAATGTAACACGCACAAAAAATCTTTAGTGTATTTTTCCTAAACGTAACACTCTAATATAACATTCCAAAAAAACTCCTTAGTGTAACAAAAAAAATAAAAAATAAATAAAGACATTCTTCATGTACTTTTCCTAAATGTAACATTCTAATATAATACTCTAAAAGAACTCTTTAGTATAACACACAAAAAACTTTTTAATATAACATTCTAATATAACACACAAAAAAATTCCTTAATATACTTTTTTTTCAAATGTAACACTTCTATATAACACTTCAAAAAAATTCCTTAGTGTAACACTTTAATGTAACACACAAAAAAAATTATTTGGTGTACTTTTCCCAAACGTAATGCTCTAATGTAACAAAAATAAATAAATTCTTAGTGTATTTTTTCTAAACGTAACACTCTAATATAACATTAAAAAATAAAGAATGTGAGATTTTTCAAACCATTCCAAAAAGAATATAAATATTCTTTAGTAAGTTTTGGGTAAATATATAATTTCAAACTGTGAGTGTTATGTTTGGATAAAGTACACGTATAAGTTTTTTTAATATTTTTGTATGTTACATTGAAGCATTACGCTTGAGATTACACTGATTGAAGTGTTACATTTGAGAAAAATATACTAAGGAATTATTATTATTATTTTTTTAATGTTACATTGGAGCGTTACGTTTGAAAAAAGTACACCAATGAGTTTTTTAGTGTGTTAAATTAAAGTGTTAAGTTATTGGAGCGTACATTAGAGTGTTAGGTTTTTGTTTGTTCTAAAATGAGGAAAAATTCAAAACTCTGATATTGCAAATTGCCTAAATATGTAATTTTAAAAAATTAAATTCAAACATGTAAGTAACTATCCTTTTATGTAATTTTTACTTTATTAAGACCTTTGAATTCATAAAAAAAAAAAAAACAAAGAAAGATTAAATAATTTATAATATTATATTTTGAGATTTATTGGTGTTTTACCAATTAAATTTTGTATATAAGACTTACCGGTAAGTTCCCAATAAAAACTGGGATGGGCTTGGCCATTGGGCCGGCCCACACCCGATTACCGTCTTACGTGTGTCCACAGCACCTATAACTCTCAAAACACAAACCCTAGTTTCATCTTACGGCCTCTCTCTCTCTCTCTCTGTTTCTCACAGGGTCTCGCACATTGAAGCCCTAAATTGATTTTTCTGCTTAAAACCCTAGTTTCCTCATTCTCAATTCACAATAGTTGACTTGAATTTCTAATTTTTGGCAGATTATTCTGAGGATTTTCCCGGAAATTCGTCGTCGGAGCTGATTGGTAATTGAAAAACTACACTTCGTTAGATCTTAATCGTCATTTTACTCATTTCATTATATCTCAGGCTGGTGTTTATATTCTTACTTTCTTAGAGATATTCTTTGTTTGGTTCCTGTTAATTCCTGGATGAATTAATGTAATAATAAAAATCGTTGAATCTTAAGGTTAATATTCATTATTGGGGTTGGAATGTGATTTTTTTTTAAAAAAAAAAATTGGTTGGTTGACTTGGTGATTTTGTTTTCTCCATTTTCAATGATAGTTTGAAAGCACCCTTACGTTGGTGGAAAACATTTTCTAACATATGTTTTCCAGAGAAAACATTTTTCTATGTTTCCTGCTGCTGGTGGGACAAAGGTGGCGATGACAGGGGCGGTGGTGGGGTAGGTGATAGTAGCAGTGGTGGTGTGGTGGCATTGGTAGACTTAATTCGTAAAATGCATTCTGCCTTTTAAAAGCTTGAAAATGTTTTTCATTGTACCAAACTTCAAAAAAGTTTTTTTGTTTAAACAAGCGGAGCGTTAGTTTTTTTATTTCGTTTTCAATTTTCTGGAAAAACAGTTTTTGAAAATGTATAAACAACTTTTTGGTGTTTTGTAGACAATGGGTTGTTTTTAGAAAATTCTTCTGGAAAACAGTTTGCAAATAAGTTTTTCATTTCTTGAAGATGGAAAGGCAAGCTGATTCCGAAAACTGTTTTTGGAATTTTTTTTGGAAACAACTCACTTTTTAGGAAACACCATTTTTATTAGAAAATAAAATTTCAAAAACGGTTTTATGGGTGTTTATAAACTTTTCATTGTTTTGTTTTAAAAACACTTGAAGTGAAAACATAGAAACCCAGAATTGGTGATCAATTTTTGTTGGTTTATTGTTTGTTCATCTTGGATTTTCTCAATAGGATAAAATTGTAGTTTGGTGAAGCAGTAATGCCATAGCTTTATATCCAAAGCCATTGCTTTAATGATACTTGGGGAGTTGATAGTTGTGAAGCAATGCTGTTTAGTATTGTTGATCTTGGTTTTATTTTTTCCTTTCTTTGTTTTCCTTGTTTTGTTCCTAAAAGGTATCGTTGTGACTTTTAATTTCCCGGATATCTGCATTCATGGATGTGAATAATTGAATCTCTGGTGTTTCAAGTGTCAAATATTGAAAAGTGATGGCATGCTTTAAATGTGATGAACAAGGTAGCCTTTTAGTTTAATACTTAGTATATGGGGATGATCTATGCCTTTTTAGCTCTTTATCTTTTTGTTTAATGGTAGTATTACATTAATATTTATGTTGGCTTTTGTTTCCCTTTTCTATATCATTTTTCCCTCTAGCATGCAAGTGAATTTGGTCAGTTTTTTATATCGTCAAACCTTTAGGGCTATGAAGCACGGACACGAACACCGACGCGGGACACGGCAATTTCTAAAAAATGGGAACATGGACATGGCAGGGGACACGGCGAATTTTTTTTTATATATATTTTTATGTGTTATGTAAATTCATATTACATTCATCCTAAATCAAAATTAATAAACATTAACATAGTAGCGTTAATTCAATAAATATAATTACTACATTTAAACAAATTAATAGATCATCCATTCACCAAAAAGTCATAATAAACGATAATAAGAACCAAGATGAGAAGGGAAAAAATTCAACATCCAACAATATTCTTCACAAAGGTACTAAATAAGAGAGGCAAAAGAAGGGGGGGGAAAAAATTAAAAAAAATGAGCCCTGCCATCTCCCATGCCTTGTCTGGATATGGACACATGTGTCTCCGCCGTGTCTCATGCCGTGTCCCAATATGGACACGCATGTTCCTGCCGTGCCCCCTACAAAAAAAATCATTAAATTAAAGGGATACGTCATCTGGCGTGTCCCGTACATGTCCCCAGCATGTCCTCATATCGGACACTGCCATGGCACCGATTTTGGAGTGTCCATGTTTCATAGCTTTAAAGACTGGTAAGATATTTGAAAGCATGTTCTCTGATGACTGCAGTAATTTGATCTTTCCAATTGTTACTCTTCGAATAATGTTAATTCTCCTGATAAATGTTGTCATTACAACTCATTTCAAATACAAAAATTAGAAAGCCTAAAAGCCTATTATGTTATCTTACTTTGTGCATCTTTTTGTATTCAATATGTTAATGTTACTTGTGTTTTTTTTTAATAAAAAAAATCTTGTGATGTTGCCGTTATTCAGCATGAACATTCTTCAGTTACATCAAATTTCATTTTTAGTAAAAAATACTTTTAATAAATTGATATATGTTGGATTTGGTATTGGTGGTTTCAGGTGATGGCTCCAAAACAACCTAACACTGGCCTCTTTGTGGGTCTCAACAAAGGACATGTTGTAACCAAGAAGGATTTGGCTCCCCGACCTTCTGATAGAAAGGGGGTAAGTCAATTATCTATCATGTGTGTTCTAATTTTCTTTGCACTTCATTTCAACATAATAATTTCCCATTTCTGTGTATTTTCTTGTCTTTTATTTGTTACATAAAATTCCATTTTTAGTTGCTCAATTAACACGTTGCCACCACATGCATTGAATTAACTTACCAACTATATGAAGTACACCATCCAAATATCTTGTGAAGTACTAATAAATTCCAATTGTTTTTTCAATTTTTTTTTTCTTTTTTTAATTTAGAAAACAAGTAAAAGAGTCCATTTTGTGAGAACTCTCATCAGGGAAGTTGCTGGTTTTGCTCCCTACGAGAAGAGGATCACTGAACTTCTGAAGGTTGGGAAAGACAAGCGTGCCTTGAAAGTGGCGAAGAGAAAGTTGGGCACTCACAAGAGGGCCAAGAAGAAGCGTGAGGAGATGTCCAATGTTCTTCGCAAAATGAGGTAATTGATACGGCATGATTTGTACTATTTTATTAACAATATCGATGCTGAAATGTCTACGATGGGAATGATTGGTGAATCACAATGTCAACTCAAAGTTTACCCATAATCCTGAATATGGTGATTTTGTGTTTATATTGTGACTTCGGTCGTGTGATCTGTTTTTCTTTCCTTCTATGCTACTGCCTCGTAACAATCTGTTTTTGGGTCTCCTTTTTCAGGTCTGCTGGAGGTGGGGAGAAGAAGAAGTGAATTGTTGGAAGTGAATCTCTTCTTTTAGAGTTTTATTAATTGGCAAAACAGATTAACAATTAGTGTTTACTTTGATTGTGTGTTTGGTAAACTAAGATTGAATTTTGAAGCTCTGGAGTTGGAGAAGTGAGTTGCAAGTGAAATTCCTTTTAGAATTTTATTTATTGGCAAAACATATAAGCAATTAGTGTTTACTTCATGTGTCCTGTTATACCAGAGCTTCAAAATTTGTGATTTGAGCTGACTGACTGTACGACAAGGGCTCATTTTTCCCTTTAATCTCTGATCTTCAGCATTTTTATCTTGGAATATTATTATTTCACATATATTCCTGTTTTAGTTGAGCAAAATTTGCAGTTCAATTACATCTTATTCACTCAACACTGATACTTGCAATGGGTCATGCTTATGGTAGTAGTTAAACAGGTAGACATGTAGAATAACAAAAGCAGTCTCAATTGAAGTGGGCTTGTGAAGCAAAGAATTTTCCTTACATCTTTCTTAATCAGCATTTCTACTAAGCTGCCAATTTTGTCTTTTTGAACCGTGGCGTAACGTAGTAGATATTTTTGTGATTTAATGGCAAGTTATCTCTATAGTCTTGTGCTCATAATGGTCTTTTTGCTTCATGGTGATGAATCCTGATAAGAAATCACCATGATATACAGATCAACTCATGATCTGAGCAGCTCAGTTGCTGTAGACTTTATGTTTTGTTTTGGGTTTTTTTTTTGGTTGTTGGTGGAGAAATAGACTGACTTTGTTTAAATAGTTGGGAGTGCGTTTTGTGTGTTCTACTGTTCTTTGTTTAAATTGTTGTTGTAAGCTTGCTTTGACGCTATAATAATGTTAAATGCCTCATGGCCAATTGAGCAATGGTACATCTCTCTAACTTTAAAACTTTAATTGAACTCTAACGATATAATAAAGAATAATAAAAATAAAATAATAAAACTAAGATCAAAACATCATATTGCAGTGGGGTCTATTTTCATTAGAGTTTTTTTATTAGATCTCTCAATCATTTTTCTTTGGGAAGATCAACATCTATGGCGTGAGGCGACCATTTAGGAAGATGACAAGTGGTAGACAAATTAGAGAATGAAACAAACAGAGAGGTAGATAGAAAAATTAGAGAATGAAACAAGGGTATAATTGTCACATACATTGTGAAAAAAATATTACTCCTTTACATTTATATTTATTTTACACCTTTCACTCACGTGTAAAGAAATTTAGGTGCGTGTGTCAAGAAACAAATAGAATCACTGATTTGGATCAAACCTTGATTAGTTGTGTATTCTTGAACTATTTATTTTTTTTGGGTCTAGTCACATAATAAAAGTATAAATTTGATTTTTTTTAACTTTTAATTTTTTTTTATGAGGTGAAAAGTTTTAATTAATTATTTTTTTTAGTTGAATAAATTATTGTGAAGAAAAAAAATTAGTGCTCGATGGGACCTTCGTAATGAATTTGTTAATTTTTTGATTTTTTATAACTTTGTAATTTCTTTTTTTAATTAAAAAATATCTTGCCAATTAAGATCTAACTCTTTAATCAACAATATTTACAAAGCCACCAATCATGTTGGGCCTGAGTAGAGATGGGCATCGGCCGGTTGGCCCGGTGGTCTTACTCTTATTTTTTTAGAGTTTGAAGAGATTGTTTTAATCTATAAGATTGGGTTGGATTAATATTTTCAGCTCGCTATATTAATAGGTTAAGTTTGGAATTCAAACTTTCAATCCAATTTGGTCCGGGTCATTATTAAATTAATTAATTAAATATACTATATTAAAATATATATTTTTTTATTGAGATTTATACTTTATCTTTGTTACTTTTACTGAAACTCACATTTGTAGTAATGTGTGATTAAATTTATTTAATAAATCTTTCGATTTATAATGATGTCAGTATATTTATTTAAAAAATATAATATGTAATTGAATTTAATTATAAGATATTTTAATTTTTTTAACAAAGGTTTAATGTTAAGGCGAAACTAAGGCCTCGTTTGGGAACATGCTAATTTAGTAACTTTTTGGCTATTTGGCTAAAAAGGTAGGTAAAAAAAACTTGTATGTTTGGGATGACTTTTTGGCTAATTACGAAAAGATGTGCAAAAAGTAGAGAGAAAAGAGAATCTTTGACTTTTTGGTATGGGTTGTTGGCTTTTTGGCTAATTTAGTAACTTTTTGGCTAATTGGCTAAAATAGCCTCTTGCCAAACGAGGCCTAAGTTTAGACAAATACAAAATCTCTTATTATATGTGTTGAAGCAACCCAAATCTAGTTCGGCGGAGGCCAATGAAGTGTCTCATAATGCTAATGAAATTATTTCATCACAGTGACTCTCTCACCTATTTGATAACACTTATAAAATTCATATCTTTTGTTTCAAATAAAATTTTTAAGAATACTTTAAATATTTATATAATAAAAATTTATGTGATAATTTATTTAATTAAATAGATTATTTATTTATTACAAATTATCAAAAATTAAACTAAATCAATTTACAACTTATTTGAAAAAAAAAATAAAAACTAATAATCATATGTGTATTTAGCTTGAGTTTTTTAGATTAAATTTTTAAAAAATTGAATTTTTTTGTTTTTTTTGATTTTTAGTGAATATTTTTAAAATTTTAAGCATTTTTTTAAATTTTTTTTTAGATGCACCTTATTTAGATGTATCTAAAAAGTAAAAAATTTGTAAAAAAAAAATGAAAAAATAAGAAAGTAAAATTTTTTGAAAAGTGCTTTTGGAAAACAAAAAAAACAAGCAATCAGCTTGTTTGGTTTCAGTTTTTAGAAAATTCTATTTTTTTATTTTTCGTATTTTAATATTTTTAATGAATTTTTTTAATATTTTAAGTAATTTTTTTTTCAATTTTTAGACACACCCAACATAAATACACTTAAAAAGTATAATATTTGTGAAAAAAATATTTAAAAAATACACTAAATACCAAAAAATAAAAAAATAAAATAAAAATTCAGTACATTTTTTATATTTTTGTATATTTATTAATTTTTTAAGATATTTTTTCACAAATATTTAAGGTGCATCTAAAAAAGTAAAAAAAAAATTACTTAAAATTTTAAAAATATTAACTAAAAACTAAAAAATATGCAAAAAAAAAAAAATTCATTTTGAAAAAATTAAATTTAAAAAACTAAAACCAAACAAACTGAATATAATCTAAACTTAAATGATAGCCAATCTACCTTAAAAAATAAATAAAACTAAAAAATTTGATGCCAATTTGCCAATCAAGCAAGGCCTTTTCCCACATTACATTTCTTACCCAAGAAAGAATATTAATTAACAAATCAGCCCAAAATCACAGACGTGCGTATTGGTTTTGGTTCCATCCATTACCTTCATCCCTTTCCCTTCCCTCTGTCACTGTAGGAGACATCTGGGTGTTTCGAAAAACAGCATTTCAAGGTCAGTATATTCATATGTGTGTTGTTTATACATATATCTCATTTGGGTTTTGATTGATCTTGCTGAATTACTCCTTTTTGATCTGTTTTTTCATTTACCAGAGTAGGGTTTTAAAAATTCTCTATTTTTCGTGAGTTGGGTTTCTTGAATTTATTTTGCATTTGTTGTCTATCTATTGCTTTGTGGATCTGAGAAGTTGTGAACTTGTCATTATCTTCAGCTGTGAAAAGAAAAAAAGAAATAAAAAATTGAATTTGAGAAAAAGTAATTTTCAAATTCCGAAACCTAAAATGCTGTAATTCTCGTGTTTTGAAATTGAACTACTCAAATTTCATGCCTAGAGAGAATTTTTTTCCCCTCTGTTACACTTTTTGTAGAAAAATTTGGATTGGGGTCTTTGTAAAATGAGTAGCACTCAGATTGTTTTTTGTGCTTAAAATGAGGAAATTGTTTATAGTTATTTTGCAGTTTTCTACTTATCTGGGTGTTTCAAAAAAACAACATTTAAGGTCAGTGACACTGAGTCAGTTTATATATATATATATATTATACGTTTGTATCATTTGGGTTTTGATTGATCTTGCTGAATTACTCCTTTTTTTTTCTGTTTTTTCATTTACCAGAGTAGGGTTTTAAAAATTCTCTATTTTTTGTGAGTTGAGTTTCTTGAATTTCTTTTGCATAGTTGTCTATCTATTGCTTTGTGGATATGAGAAGTTGTGAACTTGTCATTATCTTCAATTGTGAAAAAAAATAAAAAAATAAGATTGAATTAAGGAATAAGTAATTTTCAAATTCTGAAACCTAAAATGCTGTAATTCTTGTGTTTTGGAATCGAAAGAACTCATTTTTATGCCTGAAGATAGTTTTTTCCCTCTATTAATTTGATTTAATTTTGCTTTTTGTATAAATATAAAATAAAATGGATTAAGGTTATCTGGGTGTTTATAGTTATAGTTATAGTTATAGTTATAGTTATAGTTATAGTTATTTGGCAATTTTGTACTTATAGTTATCTGGGTGTTTCGAAAAACAACATTTCAAGGTCAGTGTATATATATCATTTGGGATTTGATTGATCTTGCGGTATGACTCCTATCTGATCTGTTCTTTCATCTACCAGAGTAAAGTTTTAAAAGTTGTCTACTTTTCGTGAGTTGGGTTTGTTGAATTTCTTTTGCATTGTTGTCTATTGCTTTGTGTTACTGAGAAGTTGTGGACTTGTGATTATCTTCAGCTGTGAAAAAAAGATAAGAAAAGAAAAGAAAAAATAGATAGAATTTGGGAAGAGAAATTTTCAAACTTCAAAACCTGAAATGCTGTGATTCTCGTGTTTTGAACTTGAACAACCAAAGTTTTTGCCTAAAGATAGTTTATTTCCTCTATTAAAATTTGGATTGAGGTCTTTGTAAATGACTTAATGTGTTCTCTCGTAGCACTTGGATTGTTTTTGTGCTTAAAATTAGGATTTTGTTTGTTTGTTTTGTTTTCGGATCAGCGCTTAAAATGAGGAAATTGCTAAAGTTTGTTGCTAATTTTGTTTATATCTATGGTTTATACTGCAGAAACCACTTAATTGCTATGCTAAAAATGTTTAATTTCACCAAGACATCCAAAACTCCAAATACTGTTTGCTAATTCGATCATCTTGTCAAATCTTACCTACATTTGCTTATAGACATGGACTGCAGGCTGCCAAAAGCTTGATTAAGTTCTCAGACCAAGATTTGTGTAGTATTGTATATTTTGGTTTTGGTCTTAATATGGTTTGAATTTAGTGGGATTTTGGTACGGTAGGGCTATTATTTGTATGTTTTATTTGAATTTAGTAAAAGCTTAGTAGATGAAGTTAAATGATTTGCATCAACAATGCTATATATGAACTTTTGTTTTAATGTGAAGCACAACAATTGTCAGGATTTGATTGAACTTACAGTTTTGAAAACACTGAAATATGTTTCTTCAACTTGTAGGGGGTTCAATGAGCAGTAATATGGAAACTACGGAAATTGGAGCAGAAGATTCTAGTCAAATAGAACTAGCTCATTTGCCTCTTATATGCGGCCTACCTGATGACATTGCTCTTTTCTGCTTGGCAAGGGTTCCTCGGAAGTATCATGCATTAGTTAAATGTGTATCAAAGAGATGGAGAGAATTGGTGTGCAGCAAAGAGTGGCATTCTTACCGTCAAAAGCACAATCTCGATGAGACTTGGATATATGCTTTATGTAGGGACAAGTTTGAGCAGCTTTGTTGTTATGTGCTAGACCCCAATGCATCAAGAAAGAGTTGGAAGCGCATTCAAGACCTTCCACCTTCAAGCTTGAAGAGAAAAGGCATGGGATTTGAAGTGTTGGGGAAGGAAGTTTACCTGTTGGGTGGCTGTGGTTGGGTTGAAGATGCTACTGATGAAGTCTACTGCTATGATGCTGCCGTGAATGCTTGGAATAAAGCTGCTCCCTTGTCGACTGCAAGGTAATCTTATTGCTTTATGCTGTTGTGTTGAGATACCAATCAGATGATATGGACAATTTTAGTGCTTGTTGAAGATGATTAATCCACTTGTTTAAAGGACATATGCTTTTTAACCCTTGGAAAAAAGAATTCTAATCAATCCTATCAACTAATTCTAGAATCATCAGATAATGTATTTAATTTGTAAAAATTCATTATTTCCTATCTCAGTTTGTGATAACAGGGAGACTATTTTTCACTTTTGCTTGACTCTTTTCATTTGGATTTAAATAAATGAGTAGTGACATTGCATCAGGCAATTACTGCGTGATCTATTGCAATGGTCAATTGTTTTATGACATTTTTATTCATGGGAGTTATCCTAGAGGTTTACCAATAGGTTCAATAGTTATAGTTCTTCTCATTGGAGGAGAATCATTAACCTCATTCTGTACATATATGCATACTGGCCCATTTTGCTTGGAGGTGCTCCATAAGGTTGGGAGTTAGCAAAAAGATGGCATCATATATATCCTCCAGCGAAGATGCCCGGCCCACCTCCTTGGAGGTTCTCAATGGGGAGCTGTGATGTAGAAGGGAGAGAGAGATAGTTGGCCTTGGTGGTTGAGGGGAAAAGGACTTCTTGGGGGGGGGGGGGGGGGGGGGATGAAATGGGGGAGGAACGAGTACGAGAGCAAAGAAATAGAATGTGTAGGATGGTGGTAAATGGGGGGTACTGAGTAGTGTTGTAGAAAAGGAGTGAGATTGAAGAGAGAGAAAATAGTCTTCGTTAGCTGAGGGGGGTGGTGGGAACTTGCAATGGAGGTGGAGGGAGCGGTTGGAGGCTGGAGGTGGTGCGGGATGGAGGAGACCTGTCATGGATGAGGTGGATTTCAAAGATAGAGCTTCGGCGGTGGAGTGGACTGTGATAACAGAGGTATCTTTGGAGTAAAATGTCAGGTAGGCCATAGGGGAAAGAGGAAGGAGATGGCATGTGGAACTGACATGACCGGTGTTGAAGGCAAAGACAGAAAATGGCCAGCATGTGCTTTTCATAGCAAAGGGCTGTGTGGGGCTAGGGCTGAAGGCTTCATAGGGACAGGGACACATGGATAAGTAGAACACTTGGAAAGGAAATTTTTTATATTTTTGATTGCGGGTGGAGTATAGTTGGGGGTTGTGCTGGAAAGACATAAAGAGGTCACACAGAAGAATAAGGAAGGTAATGAGCCTGGGTTATTTTGAGTCGAAGTATGCTTTCCAGTGGGCTATAGATTAGTAAGTCCCAAGATGGTTTTAAAAGGGCTGTGACAAGAGAGAGACAGGTTGGGTTAACGTAGTTTAAAAAGGTCTAGGCTTGGGTGTGATGTGTTGGATTAAGTATCAGGTTGCCTAATCTTTTAAATCTTTAAACTTTTGAATGGGCTACGAGTTTACTTTACAACAGTTCAGTGCTTGATCGTGAATTGCTTTTCCCAATTCTTGTTGAAGATATACAAAATTACTATTGAATTCTCTCTTCATTTTTGGCACACTATTGATTTCTCTAGAGTGATTTGGAGTTCAACTGATGTAGTAGAAAAAATAGGTTAAGTGTATGTTAAATACCATATTAGTTGAAGTCTATTAATAGGTGATATAATACTCACTGTACTTAGTTTTGAAATAACGAATATACATTGTGATTGGAGTAGAGCTTATTTTCTCTCTCTAGCCCTCAGGGGTTTTACCCCTAATTGAGGCATTTGTCTTCTCTCTCTCTCGATTTGATCTTGATTTGGCAATTGGATTTCATCATCAACTCATCTGATAGTAATGATGATGCAGGTGTTATTTTGCTTCTGAAGTTTTGAATGATAAAATTTACGCAGTCGGTGGCTTAGGTTCAAACTCAAGTGATCCTCGTTCTTGGGACACTTACGACGTTCACACAAACACTTGGAAATCTCAATCAGATGCTAATGTTGTCCCCGACATCGAAGACTCCATCGCCTTGGATGGGAAAATTTACATCCGATGTGGTTCTTCTGCTGTATCATCTCACGTCTATGCAGTTGTATACGAACCATCAAGAGGAACATGGCAGCACGCTGATGCTGACATGGCATCCGGTTGGCGGGGCCCAGCGGTTGTTGTAGAAGGGACCCTCTATGTTTTGGATCAGAGTTCTGGAACCAGGCTGATGATGTGGCAAGGGGATAGAAAGGAATGGACGGCTGTGGGAAGACTGTCACCGCTACTTACAAGACCGCCCTGTCGGCTTGTTGCTATTGGGAAAAGTATTTTTGTGATAGGGAAGGGGCTTAGCACTGTGGTGTTGAATGTTGGCGATGCAAGGAACGCAGGAGGTGTAATGGTGAGTTCTTCTGTTACGAAATCAACTTCTGATGATGATGTAATTTGCTGTAAATGTGTGGCAATTTGAATCGCTTTCTGGGAGCTCAAGACGTCGGAAAACTATGTATTGCAACTGTAATTGTGTGTGCATACTCGGAGTTCATTTGGAGCTCCGTTGAATTTCGAACTTTTCAATTAACCAACATAAATGAAACCAGAACATTTATTATATTCATGCTTTTGAATTAGCAGTAATTTTGTAGACTTCATGAAATGGTTCTTTTTCTCATTGCTGGAATTATTAATCATCATACAAGGCATAGCTGGAAGTGATGTGTCCCTTGGTAGGGCTCACTCTGGGATCTATTTTTATGATTCAAATTATTTATCTTGTAAATTTTATCGAGGAAATTATCTATGCAAAAATAAATAAATAAAATACAATCGATTAGATTTTGATAGTCAATTGTCCATTTTTTAACACTCTGGAGCTTTTTCTCAGTCCCATCTTAAATTACTACTACAATCATTCATTTCTTTTGTAAGTTTCAAAGGAAAACGCTCGAGCCAACTAGGGCTGATCCAGTTGACCAGAGCAGAACCTTACCCCTCACTAAAATATGAAGGATTTCCCAGGCTTATGGCCTCCAATGTGTCAAAAAACAAAAAAAACAAAAAACAAAAAAAGGCATCAATATGTCAAGGGAACATAAGTTGCCAAAAAAATTAAAAACAGAAAATAAGAAGACAACCAAACAGGCATCAATTTTTCTTTCGCTCAAGGAAAAGTTCATAATTGTTGATGAGATTGACCAAAAGAGAACAGAGCTGATACAAAGGGCAGCCAAAGAACACAATCAAAATTATTATAAAAGCTCATGACACAGACAAAAAAGGACTGAAGATATATAAACATTACACCGGTTAAGAGTGGACCATTTTACAGCTGAGATAATGACTTAGATGTATTAACATTACACCAGTTAAGAGTGGCCCATTTTACAGCTGAGATTACATTCACAGAGACGATGAGTAGCAGGAACCAGAATATTCTTCAAGTAATCACAGAATTCTTATTCTTCAAGTAATCACAAGATGCTCTATTCAAATGCTATCAACAAGATTACACATCTAAACCAATGTTTTCAAGTAAATACAACTAGTATTGCAACTAAAATAGCATGAATGCACTCAACACATTCACAAATATGATGCATAGATACCTCTAAGATTGGATGAAGGCAGAGAGAAAGAGGGAGATGTCAATTTGGATTTTGATTTTTTGGATTCTACATTGGACGAAGGCGCCATGCTTGATGCATTGAAAGAAGGAAATTGTTTAGTGTAAGAAATTTAGGAAATTTTTTAGCGTAAGAAATTGTTCAATGTAAAATAGTACATGGCAAGAAATTGTTTAACATAAAATTGTACATCTTTATTCGGCTATAAAAAATGTCAAAGTAATGAATTGTAGTGTAATAAATTTAGAATCTGTGATGATATTAATTCCTATGGAAATGGTAAGAAAAAAGCAGGTATAGATTCTAGAATCAAATCTAAGGAATTGGCAATTGGGGGCACCTATAGATTTGCTTCTAGAAGCACTAAGATGGCACATTTGATGGCCATGATGGAATAGGAAGAAATGATTCCTTCAAGGGTGATAAAGGGAAATGGAGAAATAAGAGGCATGTAGCAATTTGGTTTTTGATATTTTAGATTCTACATTGAATGAAGGCACCGCACCCAAAATGGTTGATGCATTGATAAAAGAAAAATTGATAGATTTGGGATATGGACATGAGTTGGATATGATTCCATCAGTTTGTAACACAAAGGAAGAGGGTCATGTGTTGGTTACATTTTATGGTGATAGCACCTATGAATGGTTTGAACGAATTAGACTCAATTCTTTTGATCTTCACTATACAAAGAAATTGATGCAGACTAACAATTAGACCTTTATAACTGCTGTTGGGGAGGCTAAGGTTGAGGTGAAGTGGAGAGCTACATTTGGCTTGACTTTGCTGGAACCTTAATAAATTTAGCCCTACAAGTGTTCAAGGGTTCTTTGAAGAGGATGTGCGTGGGGTTGAAGCTGGTGTGTGTTTAGTGAAGCAAGTCGAAAGGGCTAGAGATGGTTTCCAAAAACTTTTTGTGATACATAGCAAGAGGGTGAATTATTAGATAGAAATTTGACTATGCAAAAATTAGTGATGTTGCACATTTGATACACGTGCAATGTTCACTATATTGGTATTTTCTACCACTAGTATTGCAACTAACGTAGTATGGATGCACCTAACACATTCACAATTATAATGCATAGTTACCTCTCACAAAGTATCACTTTTATCTTAGTCACCAAATGCTTAGAACTTTGTTAATATTTTATTTACATAATGAAATTACTTCTATGCCTTTTCAGGAATATAAATTAATTCAATATTTGACTCCGAAGCAATAATGCATATTGAAAGATGCTATATCTTGTTTTGTTGGCATTTTGGTAGCAGTTGTCTTGCTTTTACTGTTACATTAAATGCAGAAAACTACTGTGAAAGATGATAACTAAATAAAGCTTTTTTTTTCTTATATATTAATCTTATGATATATTCATGAGATAACAAGTATGCAATACATTGAACTCAACCTTTGTTGCCTATGTGACATCTATGTTTGGGTTCTTAGCAGATACACATGTCTATCAAGTATATTATAATATGGCTTGAAGGGCTTCATATGTGGTGAATTTGGTGGTTTGAGGAATTGTGAATGAAATTGGGGTTTGAGGCAACTACGAATTATTCAGAACTCTATTAAATTAAACAAACATATAGAAATGGAGTTGAAGTTGGGCTTCGATTGGTAGGTTTTGTTAGAATAATACATTATGATTTCGGTTATTATTTTGTAATTATTTTATGCCTTAGGACTTCCTTGTAATTATTAATCTTCATTAATATAAATAGGGAATAATATCCTAATCATTTCCTAATATTGTATTCTCTAAAAATAACATGGTATCAGAGCCTAATCGTAAACCCTAATTTCCTCTACCCATACAGTACTCACCAGAGCCACCAAACCCCGCCGGAGCCAACCCAGCAGAATCACAGTCGGATCATCGTAGTTCGCTTCGTCGTCCACATTTGTGTCAATCCTGAGGGGGTTTCGGCTCATCTAGGGTTCGGAACTCACCTGGTGTGATAAACATGGACCACTGAATCACCCTTTTTCTTTGTCGTTGGATGTGTTAGCTTCGTCGACCACTAGATAGCCCAGCCGATGGCTCCTCAGCCTTCGTTGACTTCAGGCGACTGCCTTGCCCCTTCCGCCACTCTGCCTCGCCTCTCCCCCTGCTTGACTCCTGCTCTTACCCCTGGTATCCTGTCGTCTTCCTCGTTTGTCTGTCTGTCTCTCTCTTGAGTTTTGTCTGCTTATATAACCCACGTTTGTGTTTTTATAACCCCAGTCACTTTATATAACCCTCATCTCTGTTTGGTTTCATTATTTTTGTTTAAAGTCTTAAAAAAGAAAAAAAAAAGTATGAATTGTTAATTCTTTACTGTCATAGTGGTTGTTTGCTTTTTCCCTTCCACCACCACCTTTTGGGTTTGTGATTGATACTAGTTTTGTTGCGGGTTCGGTAGTACAGTATCTATGGCAGATTCCACCAGTGTGTCCATTACTTCTCAGACATCTAGGAGTGAGAGTTTCCCTATACCTACTACTATGACTGATAACCCCAACCCTAGTCTTAAATCACCACCTCTCTATTTAATGGTCAAAATTATCTCGCATGGTCGCAGAGTTTGACTATGTTTTTGAAGAGTAGAGGGAAGATGGGGTATGTGGATGGCAGGATACAGGCACCCAGCTCAACTGACCTGGGTTATGACCAATAGGAGATTACCAACTCTTTGATTATGGGTTGGCTTATTCATTCGATGATACCAGACATTGGTGAAGGCTACTTGTCTATGGAGACTGCCCAAGATGTTTGAGATGCTGTGGTTACCATCTATTCCCGCAAAGGGAATTTTTCGCAGGCATTTGAGTTACGCGACTTTATTGAGAGCTCTGTTAAGGAGGAACAGACGGTTCTTCAATACTTCACCTTCCTTACCAATGACTGGAAATGCCTTGATCACCTGCAGGACTATAACTGTGTTTACACTGCTAATTCCATCGGGTACAGAAAGTTCATTGTATAAGAAAGGGTCTTCAAGTTTCTGGCCGGTCTCAATGTGGAGTATGATCCAGTTCGGAGTCGAGTTTTGAGTATGGACACTCTTCCTTCACTTCATGAGGCATTTGCCTATGTACAGAATGAGGAGATTCGCCGGCCTGCTATGATGTCCCCTATCTCTATTGACCGCTCAGCATTACTGTCTACTTCTAGAGATGGCCTCAGCGTGACTCCCATCCCTCCGTCTGCCGCTAGGGAGTTTGTATTCTGTGATTACTGTAAGAAGCCACGGCATACTCGTGTGACATATTGGAACCTTCATGGGATTCCATCCGGGAGTCGAGGTGATCGATTTGGTTCTAGAGGAGGTCGGTCAGGCCAATCTAGAGGACGTGGCTCCTCTCCACGGGCTTATCAGTCTAGTGCCGTTGATACACTTGATTCTAGTTTTGCTTCCGTTGGCCTGACTTCTGATGGTCTCTTTGGCATGATTACTCATGAGCTTGAGGATGTTCTGCGTCAATTGTTGAACCGCCGGTCTTTTACTGCTCTCAGTACATCTTCCTCGTTCTTTGCCTGCTCAAGTAACTTAGCCTCTTCTCCTTGTGTTTTCCTGTCTCATAAGTCTTTGCCCTGGATTATTGATTCTGATGCCTCAGATCATATGTCTGGCTCCTCTAACCTCTTCTTTGCCTATAAGCCCTCTTCAGGTCAGGACAAAGTTAGGATTGCAGATGGTACTGTTTCTTCTATTTCTAGGAAATGTTTAATCCATGTCACTCTTACTTTACCTCTCTCTTCTGTTCTCCATGTTCCCAATTTTTCTGTTAACCTACTATCCTTGAGTCGCATTATAAAGGATTTGAATTGTAGTATGACATTTTTTCCTGATCATTGTCTTTTTCAGGATCTTGTCATGAGGAGAACGATTGGCAATGGTAGTGCAAAAAATGATCTTTACTTCCTGGATCAACCGGATAAGCTTGCTCATTCTTCCACCATGGATCCTACTACCTCCGATGATATGTGGCTGTGGCATCGGCGTCTTGGGCATCT